TTTCTACGTGATAAAGGAGCTCAATTCATCTGATCATTTTGTTATGCTGAATAATTCATACATCTGTAATTGTAATCATCAGTCACTGTAGTCAACAACAAAGTTGCATAAGGGTAACTAATCAAGAAAGGAATATGGCCAGAAAGTATATCAGCCAAAGTCTGCCTGCCTGTTCTCTGGTGGTTTGCTGTTACCTCATAGCACCAGCTGTGCTGAAGTGTACTACAGCTAAAAATAACCTCTTGCCTAAAGTCAAATGATCAATCAGTGAAGAATCAGGGAAGGGAGGAGAGAAGAAATGCAGAGGGGAGGGAAGAGGTGGGTTCCAGAAGGCCAGGCTGGAGTCGTGCGAGCCTTCCCTCATGAAGAAACTGGACCTGTTACAGGCTGATCTAGATGGCAGAAGTGGGGACACCTTGTGGATAGAGCTCCCAGAGCCACCTATGACTTGTCCTCATCAAAAAGGGACAAGTTCCTCAATGTCTTTAGAGCTCACACTCAGTGTTTTTCCTGGCACAAGTCCAAACCATGTGGGTCTGACCCCCCGACTCTGCTCAGTCGAGGCTGGAGGTGGCGCAGCGATTCAGGCACCCAGCAACATTCACAAACTGCAGCCCAGAAGTTGCAACAAAGCCCATACTTCTCTCGTCTGTGTTCATGACTTCTAAGCAATGCTAACCATTAGCCAACACTCAGTGTATTAAGGACGATTTAAATCATTTGAGTCTGTGTAGTTATTTCAGATGTGTTTGTGTACCAGCCGAACTGTGCAGCTAATGGAGGCTCTCTGGCAGCTGCATTTGTACTAATCACCCCAGGACTGACTGCATTTTCATGCTCGTGCTGAGCTTTGCACTGGCCTTGCAACAGACTTCAAAGATCCACAATCCCATTGGGGTTTCTTCATTAGAAAGCCATCATCTTACGGTCTGTATTAAACAGGAGGTGAAATAAGATATCTTATTATATTGACCTTAAATCTATGAACATCAGTTATTCGAGATCAAATTAATCCTGTGTTTCCTCTTCTCATCTCCAATTATTACTACACAACCCTGCTATTGCACTGTACAATGAGGTCTCCTGGGAGAAGGGATCCTTCTTCTATACAAATTTTATATTATAAGCATGTCCATGAGTGTTAAGAGAGAATATCTGGTCCTTTGTTCTGCCCAAAGTCATGTGAGAAAGGCACTATTAGAAGTGATGAGGGTGAAGGGGGTTGTTTGTTTTATGGCACAGATTCTCATACCTGATGACTTTGCTACTGGTTTTGCTGTTCTTGTTGCTGCACACTTTGCTCTGTGTTTAGCGACAGTGAGACACACAGGAGGTGCACTGTGGCCTCTTGCAGATGAGGAATGTTCTTGTCGTGTGTGTGCATACTCATCCGTAGGCTACATTTCCAGGCTCCTTAGACAACTCAGTCTCAAACGACAACGCTTATCTTTTTTGCAAAGTCAGGCTTGACAAGGTCAGAGGCAGATAACACAGAAAGAGTCACTCAGAACCCCCTTTTTTCCCAGTTTTAATTCTAAGTTGTGCTTTGCTTGCTAGGGTATGAATTTTGGAAGAAACTGTCTACTTCCTCATGGAGAACAGGATAAGGACTCATAGTCCATCAGGCTTTCGGGCTCTCTGAATTTTTCCTGAAGGTACTTCTTGTGCAACAACTGATGTTGAATCTGTCACAGGGTATTGGGCTAGAGCAATTGATCCTGACTAGCCTGACCTAGCATGTTCCTACATTGCCAAGCCACCCGTCCATGCCTGTGACCTGCCAGTGATCCAGTGCTGGAGCTCCTGCTTCACCAAATCCAGCCTTTGTGCATAAACACAAATTCCAGCAGTGACCCACCATGCAACCCTCTGCTGCAATAACTCTTGGATCACATCAGCCCAGTGAGTACCATTTTTCTGGCTATGGTACACATTGGCTATGGCCAAACTATTTAAAAGTTTCACACCTCTGAGTCATGTTCGAAGGAAGGAAGATTAACATATCTTCTGTCTGGATTTCTGTTTCAGCTTTATTACAGTAGGGTAAAAAGTAGATGTTTCACAGCGTGCAGCCCTGCCTGTGCTTCATCAGATCCTACGTTTCACATCAATGTACCAATGATGCTGGCAAAGAGGCCCAGCTTCCCTGAAACAATAGCATCTATTCTTTCTGTGCAGACACCCATCTTATGATTTGACTCATAAAATGTATAGACAATAATTAAATGCTCAGTTTTAAAATATTTCTGCATTGTTCATTGCAGAGAGGAGGACGGGAATATTATGTTAAAAGCATCATGAAAGACATCCATTCAGTTTATCATTGCCCAAACAATATTGTAAGCAAACACGCCAGCATGGCTTAATAAAGCTGCCCAGCACGTTCCCTTGGAGCTCTGGTTTTCAGTGGCTGAATCTTATTCGAAAAATTTCAGCCAAAATGTTTCAGCTATTTGCAAAAGAAAAGGAATGTAAAATTTATTTGCTTATATGAAAAAAAGAAATCTTGAGACAGTTTTAGTGATCTCCATGCTTTGAAGCTCAGCCTGGGTAATTTGTGAGAGGAGGGACAGTGTGTCAGATGTGCCTTGTGCTACTTTTAGGGAATGTCACTGAGCCCTGGCCAGATCCAAAGCCCATGAAAAATATGCAAACTGCATATGCTCTGTGAAGACCTCATTAGATTTATCAGTAAAAATCTGGAGATTGTGCATGCCGTATCTCCTTGCAGCTCCTGTATGTGACCAGACTGCACATGTACCACCCCCACAACAGTGCAGCTGGACTGATTCCAGATACGAGCTATGGATATTCCTTGTAGATGGCAGCTCTAGGCTAAGGGCACTGGAGCTTGAAGCTCTTCTCTCCTGTGCTCTTGATAGCTTCCTAGTCAGCTTCCAGGCACTGTGGAAAGGGCAAAAACTGGATGTGGGCTTAGGGAAAGGAACAGGCTGAAGCAAAGAGTATGAAAAGTTACCAAGAAAGAGAGGTTTCTGCTCTCTCTCTTTCTCCCATTAGTGTTTCATAAAAATTTTTGAATGTTTTATTGCCATACCAGAAAAGCTCTACGTAACTAACCATAAGGTTAAAGAATATAACATATATGTGTGCATGTGCTCACATAAACATATGTGCATGAACACAGATGCAAACACAAGCTGATATATCTATATCTCTATATATTTTTATCTGTGGCATTTGCCATCTGTTAGCGGTGTAATACTGTGAATAAGTATCTGGCGTTATTTCATAGAGTAGGGCCTTTTGACAGCTGATGCTAGGGAATGCTGTACCATTGAGGATTAAGGAGTAATTAATTAGAACCAGACAAACGTATCACAGAAAATAAAATCCCTATAGTGAAAGCTAGAGTTTTAAGGTACTCTTTAATTTAATTTTCATCAGGCCTAAGACCTAAAAAGAAACTAAATATAACAAATGTGGAGGGAGCCCCTCATTATGTTTAGGACAATTTACAAATGAAATATGTAAAATGTTAATAATGCCACTTGTTATTTCTATATCCAGAATATTATTACATATCCGGAATTGCCCAAGTAATGAATTATAAACAGTGAACACAATGAAGAGAGAGTCATTGAGAACAGGTTCCAGGAAAATAGGCTGTAAGGAGTAGATGGGAGGGGGGTACTGCATATGTTATGTATTACCCGTGGGTTATTGAGTACATAGCATTGGAAACAGATGTGACACTTAAGCTATTCAAAGACTAAGATGGTTTTCGTGTTATTAGATGGAATTATTCTTTGGCTTCCCAGTTTGAAAGTGCTGAAATCATTACTGCATTTATTGCACTCGTCCACACACCTCCAGGGGCTCTTTTTGGTCAGCTATCTTTCAACCCTTCTGCTGGGTGAAATGTGAGAATGAAACAAGTGGAATCTTTTGAAACATTAATTTCTTCTCTTTCCAGGATAAATCAGTTCCATGGACTGAGATGTAAATGAACTTAGCCAAGGGAATGCTATAACCTTTCAGTCTTGCATTGTGCAGTGCAGCGGTACCTTTCATTGCTTTGTTGCTGTGCATTGCTTTATGAATGAATTAATCTGAATGGTAACCAGGTACTGGGTGGAGTTTGGAGAGATGTAAAATGCTATGGTCCTCCAAAGACAAGTGGGAAGCAAATCAGCTGATGTTTTCTAGGACTGGCTAACTCAGAAAAGACATTTGAAAGCAGAAGCATATTCTAATTCAGTAAGGAAGATACAAATTGTGAGCAAATAGCATGGTTTGTAATACTGTGGCTTTGCCAGTCACACACGCGTGCGCGCACACACACACACACACACACACACACACTTTCATATTCATACACAACCAGTAGGTTCCCAGCAGTCACCAAGTGAGCGCTGCATTATGACAAATTTTAGACAATTCCATTTCATCATCTTGTTTTGTAGTCTCCAGGACGATATTCTGGGGGATTTGGATTGTTTCTTTTAGTAGAATTAACTATGATGTGCAGCATTCCATAGTGGAGTCATGTCCTGTTCTTTCAAGTAAATGGCAGAGGGTATTTTTAGAAACAAAGTTTGTGCTGCTATTACATAAGATGTCAAAAAAAAATTAATTTACAGAGGTTACACACCCATGTATAGTTGTCTTTAATTATTTCCACAGGCTTCACTTTAAATTTTACAGCATCTTTAATTGTCCTAGCTCTTTTTTCAGAAGACGCTTGTTGATCTGTATTATCCTCCCTACTATCTACAGTACATGACACTCACATCTAACGTACAGTTGGTGCAGCTGCATGCAACACTACCACATTAATTTATGTGACAGCACTGCTACTTGAGGCCTGCATAAATTTCTCAGCGCAGGGTTGTGGGATTGAGGGACTAGTGCATTGGAGCTAGCTCAGCTCCTCAGCAATGTATGAAAATATTTATTACATGCAGGTAAATGGATATCTATGTATCATTTCACCAGCCACTGCTATGCAGTTGCCCTCAGAAGTGGAACAAGAAAGAAACCATTCCGTGTAGCAGCACTATACGAAAATAGTCAAATACAGAGATGCTGAATGAGGTGCACACATGAAAACTACAGCAGAATATAGGCAGAGTAGAGCTTAGTCACGACTGGGCATTTGGAAAAGGACCACGGGATTGTACTCATGTGTTAGCAATTAGGGTTTTGATACCAGGTTTGACCCAAAAGGCAGCGCTGCCTACAGCAGTGCAGAGGTCTGTTTGGCTTATAGGGCAGTGGTAGATAGGAGCTGAAAGGATGGCTAGGAGATAGCAGGTGCTCCAGATACTGTTGTCTCAGGCCCCCTGGCTAGCTCCAGTCATCTCCCAGGCCTATGCCCATAGGGGCATTTGCCATGGTCTGCATTTTTTTTTAAAGGTTGGGAGTCTGTAAGGTAGGGTCCTTCCAAACCCACCCCTTGAGCACCATGGGGCATCTGCCCCTGTGAAAAAGAGGGATGGGGCAGAGCCCAAACTGCTGGAGGAAAGCTGAAGGTCTCTGCTAGCCTGGGAGCCCTGTGCTGAGCTGGCATGCTGGAGCATTAGCTCAGGGCTGCCTGGAGGGACTTTGGTCACTTTCTGATGCATCTTGCTGCTCCTGGCCTCCCGAAGGAGTCCTTCAGTCCTCATCCTCCCAAGTGCTGTGAGCATGGAAGGTATTTGCTGGGTGTAGGTTTCATTTTGTTCGCTACTTGCAGATTTGCTGATGTGGATTGAGCCTCATTCATTAAAGCTAGATGAATTGAAATAATGATTAACAGTTATAAATGCAGCTGTTTGTTAGATTGTGGACTTTCTTACCTGGGTCCTTTGACAACTACCATCACTTTAAAACATCTGTTGACTTATGTGTAATCTTATATGAGTAATCTTGTATGAGAAAGTGAAAGAAATGTTTTTCTTTTTTTAGAAAGAAGATGGTACTGGATTTTGTTTCTGAAAATTCATGGCTGCATATGCTACTAATGTTGATGATGAGCTCAACAGCTAAATTAAAAACAACCCAGATGTCATGTTCAAAGGGAAGCAGAAGCATAATAAAAAATATTCCAACCATACCGCAGCATAATAAGGAAAAAAAACTCATTACAAGAACTTCTTTAAGAGTCTTCAGTATAATGCAAATGTACGTGTCATTGATAGTTAATAAGAAGCTGCCATCTGGACAGTTGGGTGATGTATATTCTGGCACTAAATGTGTCATTCCTCCTGAAAAGCATGAGAAAACCAGAGACTTTCAAAGATAGACGTTGTAAAGTTTGCCTGGAACTCTTCCGAATATATAAACATTGGCTGTAAACGAAAAACCTACAATGTCAGTAAAAAAAGTTTTCTTTTATTTCAGCAGATTTCAGATCTGGGCTTGGATCACTGTTAAAACACATTAGTGATACAGCTATGTATAAATATAGCTATTAAAAAAAAGAGATGATATGTTGCAAGATCTTTTCTCATGCATTCCAAAGAGTTGTATTATTTGATTCCTACTGTATCCCTAAAATCCTGAAGATAATGATAGTTTGAGGAAAAGAGAAAGTAAGCATATAACTTTTCATGATCATTTTTTAAACAATTACTGCTCCTTATTTAGGTTTCAAAGCAGACCAAAGAACAGCAAATAAAGGAAAAGCAGGTGGTTTTCTTTTTCCCCAAGAATGTCTTTACTGTACATTTTGTAGCAAAAAAAAGAAAATAAAGGAAAAATATTCTGATCACAGGGATGTAACTTTCTAAAACTCCAAGTAGGAAACATGACAAATACAAGATCAAGTACACAGCCATGTCACAACATATCTCTGCGCCTTTAAAAAAAAATATACATAGAGTTTTTCACATGTTATTTTCTCTGTGCCTTGCACCCTTTCTCCACATCTTTTACAAAATCATAGGAATAATGTGCAATTTCAGAATGGTTCCCAGCAGCTGACTGTTGGGAGCGAGCAAATAAATAAACAAAGTAAGGATAGTTGCAGTAGCCACCAGAATGTTGGAAATCACAGTAAAGTCACAGAGGACAATGAAATCAGTTGAGCGGGCCTTGTGCATTCCCAAAACTGCAGCAATGCTCTCCCAAAAGGAATCAGAGAATCAGTCTGCAAACCCTAAAGAGCTCCTGTTCTTAGTTAGCAAGTACCTTAGTGAGGGTGAGGGACAGAGGCTTAGGAGTATACAGGGAACTGAAGAGCAGCAGGCTGTAATGCAGGGGACAAAAGGGAGACCCTATGTTCTGAGACATCCAAATTAAACTAATTTCCCATGGCTGATTGGGAACATACTCAGTCCCCCGAGTATGCACAAAACTAGCGTTTCTTGTGATTCTGCTGATACAGTCAACTCCTGTTGTGGCTACCGTACAAAAGAGCTCGGGTCAGGATAGAGTGAAAGTGTGTTTTATTTGTTTCTTTGTCTGTTGAACAGAAAGCAACAGCCCCACCTTTGCCAGAAGCAATTGCTACTCGTAATGCTGAGAGTTCATGGGAGCCACTTTTGTTTTCTCTTTCTTTTTTTTAGATATGAAATCTTGATTACTGTTTTTCATATCTTTGATAGCTAAACTCCTACAGCTATCGATAGCTGCTGCAATCTGCCTTGTGCATTGACAAGCAGAGACTATGAAAAAGATGGAAAAAAGAGGTTTTTTTTTTTTAAATTTATTAGCCCCTAGATTTCATTTTTCCTGGGATACCAAGGGGTTGTGTTGGAGGTGGGTTATACAGCACATCAGAAATTTGACCTTTGTACATATCTTCCTTTTCATCAAGGGGACTGATGAGAGACTGAAAACAAAACAAAACAAAACAAAAAGCTCATGGAAATATGCTTTCTGTTGTGGGGAAAAAAACAACCCCAAATGAGTAGTGGCAAACAAAACAAGAAGTCATCAAATCTCAGCCAAAACCCCACTCAACAACAGGTATTATTTTCTCAGCTGTCACTGTTAACACCACGATATCAGACTGAATGTTTCCCCTGATCTATCCCTCTGGATGCCCTGTCTGCCCTTTTGAGAATGCCACTTGCATTAACAGCCAGAGATATCCTAGCACCAGTCTTATATCCACAGAGGTGTATTTTTGAGGTTAAAAGAAAAGGAAGAGGATGGAAAAAACTCCAGACTCTTCAAAATTAATTTTGTACTGTTAAACCCCTTTTTATCTTCCTTGTTTAATCCCGTTTGCTCCTTCACCAAGAGGCTGAGAAATTTTTGGAACGCAATGCTAAATACAACTAGTAAATTCCTTGTAACATTCACGTATGGTTTAGTTGGGGCCAGACATGAAAGGTGCCATACGTGCCTATTCACATTTCACGACTTTCTTCCTCTTTATTCCCATTACTTATTTATTTACCTATCTTTTTGGCCATTATGACTGAGAACGTTCCCACCCCTCTCTTTCCAAATGCATGGCCCTGCAGCAAACCATGCTTTATCACACATGAGGTGAGAAGAGAGAGGGAGACACTAATATTTACACTGTGCTTTCCATTACCCATTCTGAGCTCCCGTAAGTCCCTTTTGCCCCTGTTGTCAGGTCATTGTCATCGTACTGCAAAAGCATGCCGTTCACCGAGAGGCTCCTCTTTGTCCAAATGTTTGTTATCTTTTTTGGGTAGGTGCAACACTGAGATGTGGCAAAGTCCCCCATGTCAAAAGAATGGCTACGTTTAGTTTTGCCCTCCAGAGGCAACGTGAGGAGGCTGCGAAATTTGGACTCCGCCTGGCCCAGCAGCGGCTCTTTGTCCGAGTGGCGGGCCACCGTGGAAGTTCTGGAGTCTGTCGTGTCCTCCTTTTTCTGACATTTCAGTTCCAGGGAGGCGAAAGCTCCCATTAGCCGGTCAATATTGTGTTTTGACCTGGAGGGGGGCCTCCATTTACTGGACAATGTGCCCTGTTCACTTTGGAGGCTATAGTCATCACAGTCGCGGCTATTTACGGAGCTGGAAGAAGAAGAGATACTGCTCCGCACGGACTCACAGTTAAACTCCATAAGTTCATTTCTCACCACCACTTTGGGGTTTACTTGGGGCAGGACTCCATTCTGAACTGGTTGCGCTCCATTTGTCTGTGAGTAGACGTTGCTGACGCTGGACATCTTCCCCTGGGCATTGTTGCAGACCTTGTAGCGGACCATGAGTATAACGATGAACACCAATAAAGTTGCCACAATGATGCCTCCAATGATCAGAATCATGGTCCCACCCAGAAACTGGCTGTGCATGGACTGGCACTGAGGGTAGTCCTCTTTGGTGAAGAACTGGGCACATCCCACAATGTTGGTGGCAGTAAGGGTCGTAGCCGTGTCATCCCACATTGCCAGGACACAGAGGTCATAGCCTGTCCCAGAAACAAGGTTGTTTACCACAAAGGCTTTGTTTGTAGCAGGAATCATCCTTTAAAAAAAAAAAGGGAGAGAGAGAATAAACTAGGTTACTCTTGACACTGACGGAATAGAGAGGAGGGCAGACATAAGAGCAACGTGGCATTTACTGCGCTGGGTGCTGGCAGAGACGAGTCTGAGCTATGAAGTTCAAACATGCATTCAAACTTCCCAGTCCCTGTGGGTCCAGCATCCCAGCATTTAGTAATGCCCAAGTTTTCACGGCCATCTCTCTAATATGCAATAAAAGGAGAGAAAAAAAAAAAGAGAAAGAAAAAAAGACACCAAAATAATCTTTTTTTCCCTCCTCACCTGCATCTATCCTAATCTTAAATATACCTAAACCTGAACAAATAACTCAGAACAAAAATACCTGCCTGCAATGAGCAGTTCTTTCTGAGCACGCAAACCATCTTTACCTTTGCTGAGTCTGAATTTGGCAGCCATGACATTGCTTCATGGGTGCTTGAACATTTACTTTGTAACATCAGCAGATTGCTTACCTTGTCAAGTCAGGGGGCTACATTCAGTCTGCACAGTCCCTGAAAATGCATGGCAGGCAGCCACCTCTCTCTGTTTCCCTGCTCCCTCACCTCCTTTCCCCATCCTCCTACTCCCCACTCTGGAAAATGATTCTTAGAAATGCAGATATCTACGTTGCCAGAAATTTCTGCTTGGAACCACCTTTCTCCATTTCAGTCAAAAAGAAATACTGGCATTGGCACTATGAGCTGTGGAAGTGAGAGAAGAGGCAGGAAGATGTAGGTTTGGAAACAAGATCTTTTTTTTTAATCTCCTCGAAACAAAACCTAGTTACAATAAACTAATAGACAGGCCCAAGCTGTGCTCCAAGTTTCATCATTTAAGAATACTGTTTTTTGTTGCCACAGAGCTTAAGCAGTTATTTGTACCCATGCGAGGTTAGAGCAGCACGAGCATTCAAAATTAGCAACTGGTAACGAACATGGTCTACCCCCACTTCACACTAGTGAAAACTGCAGCAGACTAGTCAGGACATTGGAGAATCTCAGATTCAGTGCCTGGTGGGAGGCTAAGACTGTAACTAGAGAGGTATCCTGTGCATTTTTCTCTTTACCTCCGCATAATAATGGGTTTGAGTGAGGGAAAAAAGCTGAAATAAAAAAAAAAAAGAGCCCATTGTGACTTAGAGCTGCAGATCTTTAGCACCAGCAGCAAAGCAGCCCCTGAAGCAGTTACACCATAGAGGAAACTGGTGTGAGTGCAAAGGGGAAGGTAAGGCTTGGCTAGAGGAAAATGTCTGAGTGGGAGTGCCTGGCTTTCTTAGCCTCAAGTAGCCATCATAGCTAGCAAAAATTACAGCACTCCAGAGGCCCTTCTGTGCAGCGGAATGAAATGTGCCTGCACAGAGAAGCAGCAACATCAGGGCACCGCAAAGATGAGCTTCCGATCATCATCGCGTTTGTATGTTCACACACACTTATACACCCCTTCAGTCTGGCCGCAGGTGAAGGACCTGCAGGACCCCATCGCTTCCTGCAGGTCACTCATCCCATGCTTTATACCACTCCGAGGAGTGAGGAAGTTTTTCTTCTTTCTTGCTTTCCTTGCATAGGCTTCACATGGTCCCCGTCCTGCCAAGGGGACTTCATATGCACACATCAAGGATAATATATGGAATAACAGAATCCTATCAATTCCCACATGTACAGCTGTGTCTCAGTCATTAACAGTGTTACCGATTGCTTCATATCTCATGCTGTACTACCTGATGCTATATTCCACATTCCACCACCACTCTGAGCCACATGCTTAAAAAAGATCTGCAGTGCTTAAGTCCTTTAGAAACTCTTTCACTATGAAATCCCATTAAAAATAGGTACCACTGTTAGCAGAGAGAACAGTCGACCCTGCAAAATGGAGCCTGGGGCTTTGGTTGTAACTCTCAAAAGACAGAGCTATAGCACTATCAGAATAGTTCCTCTTGCTTTGCACCAGTGAAACACAGAGGGACCCTTATATTCTCTCCAAGCAAGCAGCAAATAACTGGGTTTACTTAGTATATAGCTTTACATATATCTTATGCATATAAAAATACAATAGTTCAACCTAATGCACCATGTCAATTTATATAGAGTAAACACTGATAACTTCAATCATTTACAACTTGTTTTCTTCACATATAGATTACACACAGGCTTTCAAGGACACGTAACTGCTTGGAATATTTCAAGGACTGGCAATTAGTGAGAGTGGTACTGTAAGGCCAGTCCGTTTTTAAATTATGGCAGTGATGCAATGATCACTCCTAAAGTCTGGCCAAGGTAATTGTTTTGATACTTGCCATAAAAGCTCCTCTTAGCCTTCAAAAGAAGCTGAATAATTTCTAAATTCAGTCAGTCCTGGCAGCTACAGCTGTGGTAGTACTGGGGCTAATAATAGGTTTATAATACAACACAGTTGCAATACCAATACGGAAAAAGCAATCAACTCTCTATATACATCTACAATAAAGAATTTTGGATGATTCTATAAATAAACTTCAAATGTTCTTATAAAATATTCAAATTAATGTTACTGTAAAAGAACAGCTGAGCATAGGCATAAGCACCAAGTGCATTCATACTAGGAGTTAAGTAACTAATCTCAGAAACAGCTTTCTAGCTTCTAGGGAAGACAATCTTGTTTTGATGAAGTTGCAAATTGTAAGAGTATTTTGTGACTCTCTCCCAGCTTGAACACACCCTTCGCAAACGTACTGCCAGTCAGCTATGATGGATGATAACTCTTAACATTCCCCACACCTAAAATCAATGCAGATACATTTTCACTCTGGAATATTGATGGCTCTTTGATTATCCCCAACGCAGGTACCCGCAAGACGCCACTTCAATCTTTGATTTGCTCCGTCACAGGGGGAGTCTTTTCATAGCTGCTCTGTACTTTTAACGCTATCAATCGGTGAAGATCATGCCTTGCCGTTTAGACTCAATAAGTAGGAGTTAGGGCAAAACCAAAAGGGATCTTTAAAACTGGCTGGTCAGCTCCCCCAAGAGTTTGTTCAGTCGACTCGTGGGCTAAACGTAGAAAGTTCAGTTCAAGTAGCAGGAACCTATTGTCTAGTTCATTGGAGAAGATCAAAAGCAGAATTTGAAAGCTGAGAGCTTTTGAACTCAGAAGATCATTGTGCTCACTTAGCCCTCAGATACCAAACCTATTGGACTGTACCAGTATCTTGAAGCAAGGAGCTTGATATGGTCCTCTTCAAGGCAGTGTGACCTTGCAGAACTGCTTCTTATCACAGAACTGGAGTAGAGACCTCAATTACACATTAAGCTTATTTAGGAAAAAAAGAGTAATGGCTGACTAACTGCATGAGAAAATCAATGAGAAAAACACTTGCTTAATTTTAATCTGAGATTATTACGATAACTTTTAATGTGCGCAGTTTAAGGAACACAAGAATTGTAAGCACTGGAAAGGATTACCCAAGGAAAAGAGAACAAGTACTCAAGCATAAGTGTAGTGACATTTCACAGCGGAGGATATAAAAACAACCTTACCTCTATAAATAGATAGGCAATCTTAACAAGCGGGTATTTAATACCTAATTAGAACAACAATACATTTGAAAAACCTTATGAGTCTTAATTCTTTCCATTCTGAAACTTCACTGTGGTCCAGACACATATGACACAGTAATTTCTGTCTTTTGCCTCTGTGCTGTTTTCCTCGGGGCAGGAAGAACAAGCAGCTTTCCTCCACGCTGATGCTGGGATTTAGCTACCTGATTCTTAAGGTAGTTGCTGAAAAGTATCAGTGAAGATCAAATATCTTAAGGCAAACCATTCATATAAGAACATAGTTTGACTTCTTTTAAAATTTTGCCTCTAAGGAATGAAATGAACATGAGTGTCCTACAATTGACCTTGTCAATTTAGCAAAAAAAAGGCCCTCCTCTCATTTCTTGGCAGAATGACATCACTTACTAAAGGAGGAGGGAAGCTACAGCCTGGGACTGGGGCCTAGCAGAAGTGCCTGAAATGGAACAGCAATAAATGATCCTGTAGGAATTTATGTGTGATGAAGAGCTGTGAGGGTGAGGTGACAGTTTTCGGGCTTTTACAAACAATACTTTCCCTTCAATACATGGAGATTTATGTTTCATTTTCTGAAAGCACCAAAGTGAGACTGTAAGATCCATTTTTGAAAAAGGAAGCAAAGCTTTAGCATCCTTCTTGAATTCAACTCTATTTTCTACCCCCATCACTAAAAAGTCCTTGTTGTGTCCTTGAAGATACAAAATACGTAAAGCAATTTTGTAATAACTCACTTAAGCTTGTGTCGATATAAAGAAAATTAGAAAATAAACGATTTAGAAATGCAGGAGAAAAAGTTTTGTTGCAGACTTCACTTATAATCCTAGATGCAAGGGCTCACTGAGGCTTGCAGGGTGTGTACTAGATTGAGAATTTAGGAGACGTGACTTTTATTCCCTTCTTTATCAGTTACGCTGATATCAGACTCTACTTTATCAGTAATTCTCAGTTCCTGAGAAATCATTTTGCTGTACTGTAAGTCTCCTCATTTATAAAATGGGGATAATGCCAGCAATTTCCTTTCAAAAGAGGCCTGTAGTATATGGAAGGAAATTAGTAGATACTATGATTAGACTGTAATATACAAATGGGTTCTGTTCTTCTTTGTAGCACTGGGAATTAGCGAGAGTGAACTGCTAGTTAATATTATGGTTATGCAAAACTGACAAATTAGAGAAAAGATAGATTAGGCTAATTGGCTGGGAAATTCTGTTCCTTTTCTCCATCATATGAGCGGTATGATATCATCTAGTCTTAGCCTGAAACTGGCTGCTTTAATGAGGGGACTTACTGGGAACTTTCAAGGCAGTTCCTTTGGGAAGGCACTTGCATCTTCCCAGATTCAGTTTTATGCTTACCCACTAGACTATGTGGCTTCTCTCACAGTCCTTTTTGTATTATCCAGGGCCATACATTATATTGCAATGATTTTCTT